TGGGCTGAAATTGGTATCGTATCGGAGTGGTTCCGGTGTTGCCCCATTATCATCATTTTCCCAATGAATTGTTGTCCTGCGGCCCTTCTCATCCTCGTCATTAGAACTTTCATCATCAGATTTCGGCTTTTTGGACTTCTTCGATCTTGGTTTCCGACTTTTTGACTTAGGAGGCGAGCGCGGTTTGGGTTGATCTGCTTTTGATTTACGAGGTTTCTTAGCTTTGGGCATTTTGTTTTTGTTGGGAACACTTGAGCCGGCGGATTGAGCTAGTTGAATCGCGCCAGTGAGCACCTGACTGAGAGTTGAAGGGTCCAGTTGGAGATGAGTAGCGTTAGGATCTGGTTCGGAAGAAGGGTCATGGGAATTGAAGGTATCGGAGGGTATATCTTGAGACGACGACATGAAATTAAAGTTATTCTGGTATGTGGGTATTGAATTGGGTGCGTGGAATCTGAGCGGAGATCAGATCTGGGCAGAGAATTGGGCAGTGAGGTGGGAATTAAGTTTTGCCCAGTTTTTCCCTTGTGTCCGGGAAACTGGACTTCTGGGCACGAGTCCGGATTTGTACTTTGTATCCCGTAATTGAGATTATGTCTATATCAGTGCGTTTACCCTTATGTTTTGGGTGATTTTCTTGATTTTTTTTTGGCCTTGAATGTTATGATATCAAGCTAGTCTTGAGCTCCAATTTTCTCCTTCATCATGTAGAACCTGGAAATTTGTCATTCAGCTGTTTTTGTGTGACTTTGATTTCTCTGATTATTTTCTTTTTTGATCCTGGATAGAAATCATATGTTATGAAAGTTTTCCCTAGTACTACATGATCACTATCAATCCCCGCATATTATTGATAAGGTGTCAGACTCCTTCCACCCTTTATTTTTAACCCAGTTCCTGTAGAACCTATTCCTACATATACTTGTCAAATGTGCAGGATCAAGATGCAGCACTAAGGAATACAAATGCTTTTGTTTTTTTTCCCAGTTGTCCAACTCTCTGCTTCGTCTTCTTCCCCATCATCACTTTTGGTTGACTTGGAGCTTCAGGAACCCTCGTTCTCCATGGCCCATGGGTGGGCCTAGGTTCAATCAGTCCCCTGAGTGCTTGTTCATCTTCCACAATCATGTTGTACATGATCACACAAGATCACATGATAGCCTCCCATCTACCAGTATTCCATGCTCTGGATGACCCAAAAATGATAGCAAATTGTGCCTGCAGAACTTCAAAACATTGCTCAACTTCCTTGCAAAATGCTTCCTGCTACTTTGAAAAGTTCTATCAGAGGAAATAAGCTTATAGTGGGTTGTATTTTTGGACACCTTTACAAGATAAACAAACCTTTTTCTTATCACTCAGTGTATGCGACATTGTTTGAAATAGGGTAGCTCATCGGGGGTAGATGCCATCAGCTACATATGGAGCTTTTTACATTTAGAAGAAATGACGGGAGATAAACAAGACACTTCAAAAATCATAAGTAACTCAGCACCGCCAACATATTTACCTCGGATTTTTCAATCCAAGGTATTATCGGAACACCAACCTCCAACAGAAACTGTCCGAGGTTTTGATCCAAGGCAACTCCCAGTGCAGAAGATTACCTCGGACAAAAACCTTGGACAGACCTTGTCCGAGGTTTTACCTCCGATGATGCCTCGGATTCCGCAACCCGAGGCATCTATGCTGGCAGTGCAGATGTCACGATAAAATCAAGCGGAAAAATAATGGAGGCCATTATAATGCCCATAGGCGCCAAAACAGCCAGGGCGAGTTCGCTCAGACTTGTCAAGACGAGGACCCTCTTTTCAGCTACGAAGAAAGAGGAGTAAGAATAACTCTAACGAAGCAAATAGTTACAAACACATGTCAAAAACCCTGGCACGCCGGGGGCTATCAAGGGCAGACTGGTCACTCCTTGAAAGTAGGAGGGGTATCTTTAAGTTTAAGATATGCTTCAGGAATTTCAGTCCAAGACATCTGAAGCATATATGTAGGCTCTATATCAAACCATATCCGAAAAAAGAGAGATACCACAACACATCTGTTGTATGAGTTAGACCATCGCAAATTACAATGAGTCAAATTACGATGACAAATAATAAATTAACAAAATAGGTTTGTCAAACCACACAAAGTCTTGAAGGTTAAGGGTCTCGGTTTTACAGGCTTTCCAGTCTTTGTCTTTGTAAACCCTCAACCAAAAGTCTCTAGATTCTAGACTCGAATCTTTTTATTTCGGAATCTCTTTAAGTGTGTTCTTTGAACGCCGAGTTCTTTCCATAACTTGAGTTTAAGTTATCGGTGATAGCTTTTAAGCTCTTTAGTTAACTTCACTGGAAAGTCTCGTCCGTTATCTCAAATCATATGAATAAAAGATTATTAGAAATGGGGGTTTATTTAGAATTGTACAACTCACTATAAGGGTATTCTGATAGCTCTGCAAACGTGTACACAACACAGTTAAGCTTAACACAACACGCTAGTAGCGCTTATGTACAAAAGATTGTAGTGGACAGTGATCTTAAAGAAATTCCTGGACAGGCTTCCAGAAACATCCGACGCCAAGGAAGATTCCGGTGGTGAGCCAGGTGCACCCTCCGGATGACAGCTAAATATGTATGTAGGTGGTGGGCTAAACTCATCAAAGGGCGCATCTTAAGAATTGATACCGGAGCTTTTTGTATTTAACAAGACCATCTTTACACCAGGGGGTAAACTTACGGCAAGAAAACGGTTTTCGAAGCCGTTTTCTTGCCATCACGGTTTTAAACTACTTGCATTGTTTCTGAGACGATTTCAGATGGGACCGCACGAATGCGGTTCCCATCACCGTTTTTGGCGGTGCAAGCAAACCGCCTCGGTGACCCCTGGACACGGTCCCTGGAACGTTCTCGGTTATGGCGTAGAGTTTACAAAAAGGGAATGGAGCAGCAGGACTTGAACACAGGCTCAAAACTGAGCATAGGCCCAAACTGTGCCTCTTGCCGCTACACCATGCTGACCACGTTGAGAGTACCCGTGTGTCATATTATTATGCTTTCAAATCGTCAACCGATTCATAAAACTAAAATTCCTCAATACCTTCATTATGTTTTTGGAATGTCATCTGATTTTGGTGAAAAAGTATATAATTCTTCTAAAATCTTTACATCCCAAAAAACCAAAAAAAAAACAGAGCTTTAATCTAATCCTCAAGCTTGCCTTTTCAATTATGTTTAGTAATTCTATAATGATGATCTTATTAATTGTTTTATCCCTCACATTTCCATCTAAGATTCTTCAAGGTTTGAATATTCATTGTGATCAAGAATCTTAGAAAAAAGGCAGAAATGAGCAGATCGATTGCGAAAAGTCTCTCTTGGACTTTCTTTCAGATCAGTTTTAATTGACTCCCAACCTTATACTGACCTAGACTTTTTTATATCATCTTTTTTTTTCTTTTTGTACGTATCGCGCTATCAAGAGCTTTGGAACAATTCCGTTATCAGAATGATTGGATGTTAGATGAGCCACTCATAATGGAACAAAGTTGTTCAACTTGTAAGGTCAGGCATGAATGAAAAATTATATAACTCATCATGATCAACATCTTAAAAACTTTTTACACTTGATAATTCATCCTATAGATCACATTCGAGTTACGGGAAGGAAATCCAATCACTACGTCAGTACTTGAGTTCAGTTCATTCAAACTCACTGGACAGTTAGTTTTCTTAATCCAATGATTATATCCATGATTCTTTCTAGTTCTCATGATCTCATGAAGAGAGCAGTCAAGGAAATCCTGAATCAATGCCACTCACATGTATGTTAAGTTTTTGGCCATTGTATAGGTTAAATCATAAATTCATTTGTTTCATACTAATAGTCAGGTCCGTCAAGCTTTCACAGACAACTGGTAACGTTCATTTAGATAGCTGACCAGCTAACTTCTTTCTCTTGAGGTCTTTGGTAAACTGAGTTTCTGTTTTGATGATGCACTGTTCATATATTGACAGTTCGACACCGATTGCAATCGGTGTCGAACAAACCGCTTCACCACCGCCTCTGCAGCCGTTCTCAAACGGTTGCGAGATGCAGCTCGTTCCAGAAGCGGTCGTGGAACGGTGTCCGAAACGGTTTCGGCGAAACCGGTTCCACACCTTCCTGGGTGGTTCTGGTGACGAAACCTTTGAAATCGTCACAGGAACCGGCCGAGGCCGAGGACCATTACCCCCTGGTGTAGCATCTTTATGAATTTGAGTATGTACATACAAGTTCGACACACAGCATGAATACTAATTCAAAGAGCTCTCTTGAAGTTTGTACGTATATTGTACTTCAACTCCAATGATCACCAAGCAATCATCACAATCAATCTCAGTGAATCATGCGGTCCTCAATATGGACTTCTTTCTTTCTCGGCAATCACTTCTCCACCCGTACAACCAACTAACCATCTTCGTTTCTTCAAGTACAGACTCCTAAATCATTTCGGTATTTTCCGGAACCCGAATTCACTTGTGTTCAATTCTTTGAGGCGCTTTAAATTGTATCACACACTCGGTTCGTCGTCAAGCCTTCAAAGTTTACGGCTTGGAGTACAAGTGGCCCTCTCGGTTGCACTAATTTGATAGCCGAGCTTCTTCCCCACCTGGGTCCCACTATCTTTGATGATAAATTACAGCACGACATTCATCTACCATTGAAGTTGAGATAGAGGACAGAGTTCTTCGATTTATAACATCAAGTGATCCGTACGTTTTGTTAATTTACGACCATCAATTGTCCTTACTTTTATTCCTCGTTCAATTTGAACGGTGTCCGTGGCCAGGAAAGGCACCGCTCTATAACCTCTCTACTCATAAATATTGATTAGCATAGGTCACGGTGTTAATTAAATCCAAGTTCTCAACGAAAGTCCACGTCTATTCGCGTTTCCTTCATCATTTACCCAGCGTGTCTTGAGTTCTGAGATATATACTCATTTTTCACTTTAATCGAATTCCAAAGTCATCGTAGCACGCAGTTTACACCATTCTTCTATTTCAGCAAGCCAATCGGACTTTAATTTTTGCGTTTTGTTTTTTTTCGTCTCATCAGAAAAATGTACGACACTATCAACATTGGTCAAATCGCAGAGGTCGTTAAGCCTGATCAAAAGATCGACTTTCGTAATCCCTTCCAGATTGCTCCACCAGGTTGGCGGCTTCGTGGTGAAGCATGGTGGCTTTTACTCTCAGTATTCGGTAAACCAGAAGGTAATCCTAGACGGTCACCAGATCTTAGCCGAACCGATTCTGAAACTGGTGAATACCAATTTGGTCCGGGTCACTTCGATCCGATTGATCAATCCGGTCGTGAATTCGTGAATACCCCCGGTGAATTTCGAGGTGGAACGGGTACGGTGCAAATCATTCGATATCATTCAAGTCCAGTTGGTGAGTGACTCTTGCCTTGATCCTCTAAAACCAAAAAGACATTAGAACAATGAATTTAATGGGATCCATTTCTCAATCTTCTCAGGTCCATATGACGAACTAATGATTGTTCCTGGAAAATTCAACGTACCCGAGGAACTTGGTGGAGGATCCATGTCACAGATTACCTGCATATATGTATCCTCGCTCCAATCAGTTTTTAATGGTAAGTTTTCAACTCATTGAATTTAAATTCTCTTGAGAGTGTAGCTAATGATGTGACGTGCATTGAGCGTAGGAAGAACGCATTGGAATGTACCCAAAAAACTAGCACATTTTGAGTTTATAGCTGAACCATGTGGCTCGGTGACTATCAAAGTTTATGCCCTCGAATCCTACACGTTTGCTAGTCTGAAAAAAGGATCAGATGTTTGCTTTCAACCAACGTTTGCATCTATCCCATTCTTTTCGACTACCTTTCATTCCTTTGGTCCGGAAAATTTGAGAGTACCTTTCAGAACAAGTTATTTGCCTGTTTGTACTACCATTGCGCAACCACCTCTTAGAGAAGGTGACCTAACCTTAGGTTCTGTTGGTTCATCTACTTGGAAGAAATTTGAGGTTGATGTATCGGGTAGAGTTGGATTACGTAAAGCTGAAGGAAGTTTGAAGTCCTCAAATGGATCCAAAAGATTTGCAGATGATGAAAAGTTTCCGGATTTTAAACCTTACCAAATCGGAATTCATTGGAAAGATGCTATAATCGATATAGGAAGACCCACAATACTTTCAAAAATCAAAAAGTAATCCAGGGTTTCAACTATTGGTATGTGTTTGTTGTGCTATATGATTTTTTGTGGTTAAAATTGTTTTGATATTGATCTTGCTTATAAAATCCTTTAGATCATCTCCCCATCAAAGCGTCATTTGATGTCACCCATCATTCACGTCATATCTCTCTATAATTCTACAAAGTTAAACACGCAGGGTTCAAAGCCTTTGAATAATCGAGTCTCTTACACGATCTTACAACTCCATTCATCATGTTTTTCCTCAAGTCCAGTTTTAATATATTTTACACGAGTCATAAGTGATGAACACTTTCACGATCATCATGGGATATTCATCTGAACGATTTTTTTTCAATTCTCAAAGCATCATATTATCATCAAATCTCAAATCTTGATCTTTTATACTCACGTTTCTATCAGTTAGTTTGCACTCAAATATCATACAAGGATCATTTTTCAAATTACAAGATGTATACAAAAAAGTTGTTTACTTCTTTAATTTATCATTATTTTTCAATACAAGTACTTCATACATTTCCTGGCATTCTTTGTTTTCGTATACTCCATGCGAGAAACTTATACATAGTGAGCTGCATGTCATGAAGCTGAATGAGGCTCTTTGTCAAGATGCTTCTGTTTTGACTTTCATAATACTGGGAAAATGATAATGAGTTCGATTTAAGGGAGAGAGAGTTGATCTGGTGTGAAGCACTTCTTTTAAGCTGATCTCACCACCTTTCAAATACATCAAGCTTACATCTTAGAAGCATTCTAAGGGTGCCACTTGATGTGCATACGAGGCTGTGTGCTTGGGTACATGCAAAATTGGCCGGCATGATGATAGCTTTTATAAAGTTGTACATTCAATTTAATTTGACTAGCCATTTCACAGAACCAAAGCCTGAATGATTCCAAAGTCATAAACGACAAAAAAACAGCTTGATGATACAATAGATCACATTATAAGGGATGAAATGGAGCTGAAACTAGTTACCAGACTTTTAACGACTACTCAGCACCGAGATGGGAAGCAGCTGCCAAATGTGATGACTGCTTGAGGACCATCATCTTCTCAAATGTAATCTGAACCGCGCTTCGCACTTCTGGGGAGTCTTGATCGAAAGATGCCTCCGGAATCGTAAGCGTCTGGGGTGTAAAGAAGACACTCCTTACAAGCTTGATTATATTGATGAATGAGGGATGAATGAGTGAGCCTGTTGAGCGAGACCAAGATGAGAAACAATTTCTTACATATATAATCAAAGGCATCATCATTATTATTATCACATTCCAATAGAGTCATAGATGGACTCAAACAGGCTTTGGAGGAATGTTTAAATTTAGCATATTACACTTGATGTTGGTTAGAGATAAGTAGAGACTCACAGATCCTTCCCGAGGTTGTGTCCTTTCTGGAATAAGCCAAACATTTTGATTCACCAACGTTGATAGGTTTGCCATTTGGTCCAGTAGCGGTGCAACCCTTAACGGCTCCAGCTTTGAAAAAGTAAAGTAATCATCAAAGGACTTATTCAAAGATCTATGTTGAGGCTGAAAAATAATCCTCACTTGAAATCGCAGCAATATTAGGGTCGCCTTGGGTGAAGTTTGAGTTCGTAGAAAACAATGACATCCTAGGAAGACAAGTGGTACAGCGATAACTAACTCCGCCATTATTCTTACAAACTATTTTTTTGGATGAGAAAAGACCAAGAAACAATCAGAATATACATAATCAGATGGCACGATCAAGTAGGTTACAAGATACCTTTTTCTGACTTACGATAAGTGGGAGGGGAGAGATGCATCGTGAAGTGAGTTCTGATAGCTTCATTTGCCCAGGTACGAGTACAAGCTTGATCACTACCACCAAAGTCGTGATCAATACCACCAGATTTGTTTGTTTGAACGCTCATACATATGCCAATGTAAGCAAAGTTAACCAAAACTTTAGAAAGCATGATAATTGTGATTCTATATACGATCAAGTTCTAATGGAAAAGTAGAATAGTCCGAACGAGTCCCTTCCAAGGAAGGTGTGACCATTTTATCTGGATCCATTCCGACAGAAGAAAACCCGGATTTTGAATCTTCATGAATCAAATCACGAACAACGCCAGCCAGATACGTTGGCCTGGCAATATTGGCGCTGTAGCTGAGCAAGCTGGAAGCCCGCATGAAAAATGCGAGAATCTCGCTGAAAATACAGCTGCTTACAAGTCATGTGTGCTATTTTTTTTCGCGATTTTGGTTCGAAAGCCACGCCCAAATGTAGCGTATACTTACAGGGCTGTACATATGCGCGGTGTAGGGGAACCGGGTGCGGATTATCTGGGTGTACATATCGGTCAGGCCAAACCCAGATCCTCAAACCCAGATCCTCAAACCCAGATCCTATGGTCTGCCGCTCAGAATACTACGTAAACCGTGGATCGGTTCAGCACCTGGTAAAATCAAAGATCTCTGGATCTGGGATCGAGCTGGAGCAACGACTGAAATACTGTAATCTATCCGTGAAAGATAATGACATATGCATTCTTCACCAATTGTTGAAATCTATAAAACTTTAAACCTTTGCTTTGAATGTGATAATGGATGAGGAATGTGCTTCCCGCTCTAGGTATCATGAGCTTCCAAACAAGTCACAGAGTTGCTCGCAGGTGTGAAGGCTAGCTGCCCAGTTTAGACTTTGGAGCACTTAATCCTTTCCAGTTGAACGCGGTGTATGCGCAATCAGAGGTGGAGATGAGACATCTTGGAATATTCAGCAGCAAAGGGTCTTTCAACAGAGCTTTTACACCTGCGCAGGTAAATTAATAGAAAAATTGAAGCGGATATTGAAGCAAAACCAGATGAAGATTGCAAAAAATACCGGCGGTATCACATTTACATCTTTTATGCACGTTTGAACGCGCAGCTCTGACTTCTCATTCCATCGCGGTAGATAAGTGAGAATTATTTTCAAGTTAAATAGTGCCTCTGTTCTGCATTCAAATCACCCTTGAGGGTAGTTATTGTTATATCCTTCTGTTTGAGCTCATTCACTCCCTTGGCCTTTTGTCTTTCTTTGACCCTCAAAACTGCTTTTTGAACTGATCAAGTTACTCACATACATAATAGTATCCATTGGTGGGTATTGCTTTCATGCTTCTGGAACTACATCATCCCTCACTGCCTATTTCTCTAAACATAGAAAATTTCCCCATTTCAAGGGTTTTTGAGATATACTGGTGCCAAACGTCTTACTTCTGCTCTTTCATTTTTTACACAGACTCGTATACCATATCCAAATTGCTTGTGTCCTACCGCAAGAAAATTGATCAATAATTATCACCAAAGGTCATTGAAATTAGTAAGCTCATAGTCTAGTATTCATTTCTTTCTGCGCATACTCGAATATCTGCAGCTTGTTGATCTTGATATTTAAATCCGTATGTCTATATGGTAGCCACTTCAGGATGAAATTCGGACAGATTGTCATTGGTATAAATCTCTTGTTGGATCACCAGGCCTCTGGTGCTCCAACAATTGCACCTTATGAGATTGCTAATAATGCAAGACCCCATGCATTGGCTAGTCAAACAGCCTTTGGATCAAATGGAGTGGGATTACCTCTGGCACATCCCAGATTTCAGCAAACAGTCAGGGAAAATTTCATAAAGCAGCATGGATTTGATCCAACTACTGCCAGCCATAGAGAATTGGAGGAAGTCATGATTCCGACAGCTTCATTTTACTTTCCAAATCCAGGAGGATTAGACATGGGCATTGGCCCGGAAATCTTCAATGCACCATATGTTCCCCCTGGATCTGTCAATGTTCCAGAATTCACTACAGAAACCCACAAAACTGTATCAAATGCTCATGATGAAAATGGGTTCGCAGATCTTACACATCCTCAGTTGGCGGCGGTAGTGGGTGGGTCTGTAGCTATAAGTACTGCTCTCGTTGCACTTGGTCGACTCGGATATCGAGCCTACCTGAAGTATGGAAGAAAGTATGAGATTTTCATCTCAAATTGCCCCTCAAGAGATATTCACTAATATTTTTTTCAATAGAAAAAACATACCCATTATCCCTGAAAAGGTCACCAAATCATGGAATTACTTGAAATCAAAAATGAAAAGGTATGAGAGTCTGCTCTCAAATCATTCCGAAGAATATGTTCACTGATATCGGTTGAGATAGACCGACTATTCCTGAGTCAAAGACTTCAGATCTAGAGATGGCGGAGCCTGGGGCAATAACCTCGGTTTCAAAGGTGGATAAGCCATCTGCACCTCTAGATACAATCGGCGACATGCGCGATCAGGTGAAGGTGTAATACACGCATCTGTGTGGTTTTGGGAGGTTGGTCGCATTGTGGGAATTCTCGGCCACTATCTACATTCACCTCTTCCTCTGCATTTTTGTTTTCTTCTTTAGTTTGACTGTCTTTTTGCTTCTCTGCTTCTTTTCTGAAGTTTTATGTAGAAGATGTGTGTTATGCAAGTTATTGTCTGTCTCTTCGCACCCCGGTCATTCGTTTCTGTAGCTTTGTCAAGTCCTGAATTATTCTTCTCTTACTAGCTTCTTATTGTTTTCTTCTCTTACTATAAGGTCCTTCTTAGTCCTTACACAGGGATCCTTATCTGTCTCCACTTATGAGTAGATATCTAGTGTTGCGTTTCGTGGTCTTATAAGAGCACATACACTGATATTAATATTTTGAATATGTTGATCACTTGTCCTTTCCAAAGCTGAAGACAGGCGGCTTCGGAGGCGAAAAAATCATTGTGAAAAGAGTTCTAAAGGGGTGGGGGGATTTTAGCTCGCTTGAGCGGAGCCTCGAGCTCAAGAGGGACTTAAGTCAAGCTTGGGGCAGTTGGGGCCTACCCCAGCTTAACTAAGTCCCCTTGAGGCCTACCAGAAAAAGACAGAAAGCGCGCACATTTATTGATTTTTCGAATCGATCTTTTCAATGTTGAGCTCGCAGAGCTCTTATCGCTGCGAGATCTGAGTGGAACCACGATAAAATATAGTGATTGTCTGATAGATAGTGGTGTAAACACACCGCTATATAGTTCAGAAAAACTCAGTACTTTCTTCCTCACAGCGATATGTATACCACATTGTGTGATTTTTTCCGCTACAGAGCCACTCATATAGCGCATATAGCGATTTACTTTATTTATTTCACCTGCTATATCCTCTACTCTATGCTCTAAATGATCTTGCAATTTTTCTCTTGCATGCAACTCAAATGACAGACATAACATTTTCTTTTCAATCTTTGAAGACTTCAATTTAAATTTTTACAATGCATCCTTTCTTTTTGATGGCTTTTCCGTGCGATATGTGCGCTATTGTTTTGCACATATTTCTCAGACTCTACTATTTGATGAAATCGAGCTGTTCTTCTAGAAATTCAATATGGATGTGGTGACGTTTTACGGCCTACGCAAGAGGAGTTTGTATCTCTCAGACAAGGGACAAAGATATCTGCCACAGGAAGTGATCAACCAAGATATCAAGGTGACTCTTCGATATTGAGAGAAAGCTTGAAACTCTCAATACTCAAGTTGTTAGGGCTTTCATTACAAGAAGTCTTTGTTTGGAATGATCCGCGCGCAGATGGTCAATCTATCTTTGAAAAAAGGTATTGTTCGTTTGTCAGAATAGCAGATCCTCGTGATGAAATCCACTATCCTTATTCGGGACTCTCACGATACAAGGTCGAAGGTTTAACTGTAGACTCAACCCTCCAATGATTCTTCTTCACTCTGCACTGTCACATCTGCACTGCCAAACAAGTAATACAGTTGCGTGGGGCGTGACGAAAAGATGTTCATTCAAGATATTGAGGCAACACTCAGAAACCTGTTTTCTCAACGTTCTAGTTGACTCGTTTTGATACATCTTGATAGATCGTACCATCGAAACCGCTGGATGTCAAGTCAGAGACGAGAATGACACATCTTGGCTTTGGAACAGCAAAAGGGTTTCCAACAAAGGTTTTACTAATACATATACATGCGCTTGGAAATTAATTGCAAAGTTCTGAACGAATACAAAGAAAACTGGATGGAGATTGTAGATAAGTGAAAGTTTGCGATCAAGATCATTTCATCCAGGCAAGTTTGGATGCGCAGCTCTGGTTATCTAGCCCATTCAATTGCAGAAGATGGATGGGTGGCACCGGTGATGTGTTGCCCAACGTGGAGTTGCTTCGAGTATTTGAACGGGGAAGTGGTGAGCATGTATGTCGAGTTAAATAGGGCCTTGTGTCTTGTCTCAAGTCCCCTTGAGCATAGTTTTTGGTCAGACTCAAACCCTCTGTTAGTCTTTCTCTTTGCTTCAGAATCCAAGGTTGCTTTGAGCTGATAACAGCACCGCAGTACAGAATAGTGTATATTGTGGGTACTGCTTGCATTATTCTATATTCACAGCTTCTCCTTGTTAATTAGTCTGTGATGATCAGGGTGGATAGTTTCATGGGTCACCATTTTGAGGGTTTTGGGTGATATGATGCTTTGAAATGTCTTACTTTTTGTCTCTCCATTTGTTTTACACAGAAATCACATCAGACCCTGATCATATACCATATCAAGATTGGTTGTGTCCCTGCGCAAGAATATTGATCAATAATCATTTCCAAAGTGTATCAAAATAAGTGAGCTCATATCTTTCAATGCTCATTTGTTTTTGTGCAAATTTGAGTCCTCTGTGGCTTGCTAATTTCTAATTCTGTAATTCAAATACTTCAGGATGCAATTTGGACAGATTTTTATTGGTATAAATCTCTTGATGGACTACCACGCTTCTGGTTCCATGATCAGGGGAACTCATGAAATTGCTAATAATGCAAGACCCAATGAAGTGGCTAGTCAGACAGACTTTGGATCAAATGGAGTAGTCTGGTCATTGGCAGATGAACAACTAAATAGAAAGATGAGATATGCAGAACAAATGAAATCAAAGGCCAAGAATGACTATGAAATCAATCCTACCACCACAAGCCATATCATTTTGGAGCAAGGTGTTCAGAAGGAACACATGGATACACACCCTTTGCGCCACCTTTTACTTGCTGAAGTTCCAGGAGTTAGTCCAGAAGACTCTTCAAGTGGATCAAATGATAGCAAGCACAAATTTCCAAAGTGGGCCAAACTAACAAGTGCCAGCGCAGGTGCTGCACTTGCAGGTTGTGTTGCTGGATTTGGTCTCAATGCTGCATTGAATTACTGTAAGGCAATTAAACAAAGGTATGAGAAGATTCTCTTGGATTGTTCCTACAGATATACCCATTTATAATTGTTAAAATTGATCTAGGGAGCCTGAGACATCTACAAGTGAAGAGGTAGCTCAAGCTTAAGCTCAAAAAATGTGATGGTGATGTGTGTTAGTGATGTGGGTCATCAATTCCCATTGAAGAAATTTGGAATTAATAGTTTCAGACCAATTGTCTCATATTGGTGCTCTGAGTGTAATCACACATTCATCAATTGATTTTCTGTCTTTGTTGCCAAATGATGTGATCAAAATGGGTGTTTCACAGATGATTTTGGTTTTTCCTCATTTAAATTTTTTTGACCACCTGGCCTCACTGGTTTTTTATGTGTTGCATTGGTCTTGGCATACTAGCTTCTTGTAAGGGGTGAAATTACAAATGACATGTGTGACAAAGCTTTTCTTTTGGGCTTGTCACCGTGGTGCTCACATTGCGCCTGATTACCCCAGGTGACATTTACTCATATGGCTCAGCCTTGAAACATTTGAAGTGCTCTAGTTCATTGTTGAACTTCTCAATATATCCTCTACATATAAGAGAACCCTTGAGATAAATAGCTACTCCTTGCTTTTTATTCACCATCTGTTCAGTATCACCTCTTAGTTGTCTATCAAGATATTTCAGGTTCTTTAGTCTGACTGTTCTACATACCAAGTATGGTTTCTTTTTGAGTCATCCACCTCTTCTCACTTAGAGCAGCAGGCTAGAATTCTTCTCTTCTCGTCCAAGTTGATCTCTCACATTCTTGACTGAAGGTGAGCCCTCAGCTCATGGGTTTTGAGAATAGATTGAAGGTCAAGAGTCTGAATCATGTCAAGCCCTGCTCTGACAACTCATTTCATCAACAATGTTTTAGTTTCATAAACTTCATTTGTGTTATTATTTGTTTGTATCTGGTTGAAATAAAAACTGATACAAGTTTATCTCTCATGTCTTGGATGGAGGTAAGCTCTAAGCTCGTGGGTTTTGATATTGGATTCAAGGTTAAGATTCTTGCTCATACCAAACCATATGCTGAAAGTTTGACATTGCATATAGGACACACAAAAGATCCAGTACCTAATTTAATCAAGCTGATTAATATACATTTTTAGTGCTTTTGACTGGGTTGTGCCCCTCTGGGCCAAGTGGTAAGTATAGATGTAAAATGTCGTGTGACACAAGCGTGAACAGCTGATCCAGAGCTGTCACTTGAATGCGAAGAGATGCGAGGATGAAAGTGTCACGAAGGGAATACTCCAAAGAGCGAAAGCATATAATGTGGATCTAATAATGATATTAATTTCTTATCTGTGTCAAATAGGAATGAAATGAATCACAAGAATAGATATATTATATACAAGAGTTCTGAGCTGAGGCAAAGGATCAGGAAAACTGATTCTTACAAGATGAACAAAAGAAAAACTCAGCATGTGATTCTGATCACAAGAAGACTGAGTGCTGAGACTGAGGATAAGTGTCGAGTATTTTGTGATACACTATTGAGAGTATCAACATCCCCCCTTGCTCGATACTTTTGTAGGGATAGGAAGTGAGTTCGTAGATATAAGATGGAGTTCGTTGGTATCTACATTACCAATTAAGAACCGACATCGATTGAGCATTTCTTTCGGAGCATTCTTTGTGAGGAAATCAGCTGGCATTAACTTTGTATCGATCATATGAGTAGATATTTGATGTGAGGAAATTAAATCGCGAATGAAGTGATGCCTAATGTCTATGTGCTTTGATCGACTGTTTGTAGCCGATTCTTGAGAGAGAAATATTGCTCCATTGTTATCGTTAAAAATACTTAGCGGAGGTAGAGATATTGGAGATGTTGGAATGGGGGTTTGAGTCAGGTGAGATATCATTCTACGAAACCATAAGCAGTGTTTAGCACAATCTCCAAGTGCCATATACTCTGCTTCTGTGGTAGATAGAGCTACAGTGGGTTGGCGACGACTTTTCCAGCTGACTAGAGATCCGCCTAACGTGAATACATAACCAGTTGTTGATCTGCGAGTTTCGGTACAGGCTGCATAATCGGCATCAGCGTAGGCACGAAGTTCGGTTGATGGTGTGTTGTGCTTCTTGAATAATATACCACGTTCTAAAGTTCCTTGAACGTATCTGAAAAGATGTTTTACAGCTTGCCAATGTCTGTATGTGTATTTAGATGAATAACGAGCTAACGTTGATACGGCATATTGAATATCCGGTCGAGTGTGGACAGCGGCCCAGTTGAGACAGCCAATGGCTTGCTGATAGGGTAGGTGAGCTGCATCTAAGATTTCTTCGCTGGTACCAGGAGATAATTCAACGGAGTTTGGGAGAGGAGTAGATGTAGTATTGCAGTGTGTCATTTCGAAACGATCAAGAACGTTCTTCAGATAATGTTCTTGAGATAAATGAATTGTACGATTCTTTCTGTCTCGCGTGATCTTGATTCCAAGGTGTAAGGTAGGTTCAGTGGTCCACACTAGCTTGTATAAGTTTTCTAGTTTTTCTCTAGTTTCTTTGATCAGGGATTTTGAATTCGAAAATACTAGACCGTCGTCAACAAACATAGGGATGTGGATGATTTCATTACCTCTTCGAAGAGTAAAGAGGGAGTTGTCGTCTTTGTAGGGAATAAAACCGATGCTTC